TTTAAAGCTATTAAATACCAATTCTCCAAGATCACACAAATTATATATAAGGCCAGTTTCATTATCTTCATTACTTTCATCAGTATCTTCAATTAAAATTTCAGCTTTATCATCATTATTTAAAGATAAAGTACTTTTTGTATAAGCAGATTTGGTTTTTTGTTTATTTAGTTTGTCTTTTTTAGCACAATGATTGCAAAGAGTATTCATTTTTATTTTGTCTCCATGCTGTCTCATAAATTCAATAACAGGCTTTGTTTTTTTACAATATAAACAGAATTTGGTTGTTTTAGCATTAATATCGTTATGTTAAATATTTATTTTTCTAATATATTTATATTGTTTTATTTATAATAATACTAAATTTTTATATAGTAAGGTGTGTGATGTAAAGTAGTAGTTAAGTTGTCACCCCAAGTGGCAGATCTAGAGTTCGATTTCTACTAGAGACGTTTTTCAAAAAATAAGCCTGTATTATAATAATATTTATTTGACGATCGGTTGGGTATATTATCTGTAACTTTGGTACCAAATCTCGAAATAGAAGCATTAAGTAATCCAAATCCAAGAAACCAGAATATTTGAAACCTGTTTGAGCTAGAAGTAGTAAAGATTTTTAATGATATTACAGAAAACTAGAACCAGAAATCGAAGAACTAGATAAACAACCCTGAGCAAGAAGAGTTCATCAATCTGGCTACCAGAGTTGTACTGGAGAAAAAGATCTGATGCTACAGAATTCGAAACCAAGGAAAGTAAAAATCAAAAGATATTTAGAACCTAGATACAACAACTCTTTTGGGCTAACTGGTTTGGTAGTTAGAGAGGGATCAATATAAGGACCAGTTGAAAGTAGATATTGGGATCAGAAAGAATCTTGTAAAAGACAAGGAGTAGATAACAGTAGTGGTAATAAAGATTGCAAGTTCTAGTTTTTGGATTGGGGTGTATATTATCAAAAAACTCAGATGATATATATATAAAACATAAACTGCTTTGGTAGATTTACCATGAGAATAAAGTAGTTCTAAGGGCCTT